CCGCCCGCCTCGGCCTCCCAGAGTGCTAGGATTACAGGCATGAGCCACCGCTCCCAGCCTGATTGTACAATTTTGTGAATATATTAAAAACCACTGGGGAGGGCGGGGGGCAAGGGCAACATATGTAACCTAAACATCTGTACCCCCATAATATGCCAAAATAAAAAAAAACCACTGAATTGCACACTTTAAAAGGGTGGATTTATGGTATGTAAAGTATATCTCAGTAAAGCTGTTATTCAGAAAGTAAATGGGGTGTTTTTACTTTCTTTGAAAACAATATAAAAACACAAATTTCTTTTTCCTTTTATGATCTTTATTTTCCTGTGGGTTTGTAATCATTCATAACCTTTTATGAGTTTTCCGCATTATTCTTTAAACTAAGTACTTTACAGCTTTCATACACATTATCTCATTAGATCTTTACAAGAAGTAGAATGAGTATTATTATATCACACTACATGTGAGGGAGTATGACTGGTTCAAAGAAATGAAGTTACAAGCTAGCACGCATTTCCTCTTTAGATTTCTATACCAATAGTTTTCCACTTTATTTTTATTACCACTTTACCATTCTCCACTCAGCAGCCAGATTTTCTTTTAAAATTGTATATCAGATAATGCTATTTCTTTGTGTAAAACCCTTTAACGGTATCCCACAGTACTTAGAAGAAAATCTAAACTCCTTATCATGGCTTATAAGTACCTATATGATCAAGCCTCTCTCTCTGATCTTACCTTGAATACCCTCTCTCTTAACCAGGCTTAACATACATTCATTCATTCATTTAGCAAACATGTCTTATGCACCTAATTTGTGCCAGATACCTAGTTAGACACTGGGTGACACAAAGATGGTATCTGTCTTTGAAAAGCTCACAGTTTAGTGAGAGATACAAACATATGAACAAATAAAACACTTTTTCAGAGTAAAATATTTTGCAGAGTTAAGAGCAATGTGGGGCCGGGCACGGTGGCTCATGCCTGTAATCCTAGCACTCTGGGAAGATAAGGTAGGAGGATTGCTTGAGATCAGGAGTTCGAGACCAGCCTAAGCAAGAGCAAGACCCCGTCTCTACAAAAAATAGAAAAATTAGCCAGGCACAGTGGTGTATGCCTGTAATCCCAGCTGCTCAAGAGGCTGAGGCAGGAGGCTCACTTGAGCCCAGGAATTTGAGGTTACAGTGAGCTATGATGAGGCCACTGCACTCTAGCTGGAGCAACAGAGATAGACTCTGTCTCAAAAAAAAAAAAAAAGGAGAATATGTGGGACAGGAGTTCAAAGGACAGAGCAAGACTCTGCCTATAGGAATCACAAAAGGCTTCTATCAAAGAAGGAACAATTATTGGCATTCAATTGATAGATGGCCAGTTGTGGGTAAGGGTGCAGTCTATGACCTAGGAATAGAAAAAAGTTAACAGGTCTATATGGGGCTTTCCAATCTCTCAGAAAAATTATCTAGAGGTGAGTAAAGAATTCAAAATGGGCAGCTTGATCAACTATTGGCATAGAGCACAGCAGAAAAATTCCCTTGTCAGGTCATTACAAAGATTGGGAATGGTTAAAATACAAATGAATATTTAGAGCAACATTCCATTCATTCATTCAACAATAATGTTTTGAGTGCCCACTACCTATTAAGAACTATTCAAAGAGAACAATAAACAAAACTGACCAAATCTCTGTCTTCATGGAGCTTACGTTCAGGTGTCGGATTCAGACAATAAACAAATATATAATACGGTGTTAGAGATAAGAACTCTCAAGAAAAATAAAGCAAAGTAAGGAGTAGAGAATGTTAGGGCTATCATCTGAGGTATGAGAGTCAGTAAAGGCCTGACTGAGGGAGGAAGTTTTGAGCAGAAGCCTGAATGAAACAATCTAGGTATTACTTGGATCAGCTTCACAGATTAGGAAAATAAATTTTCAGACTTTGCTGACTTCACCAAACTGGCCCTTCACTAAAGTGATGATTAACTGATCCTTTCTATTTATTTTATCTTGGTTATTTGACCATGTGTAATTGGTCCCATGATTAAGCAGGTTAGGATTCAGACTACACAATTTCTCTACTGATTATTAACTAACCCTGGGTTTATTTATTAACCAAAGTTCTGCTCGTTCTATTGCTCATGTGACCTTGTTTACATTTCTCCTTGAGTCTCAGTTAGATTTTATCTCCTTATAATGTTAAACATAATATCGCAAATGTGATGGCTCACCCAAGCAGCTAAAGACAGGATGAAGCCAAAGCCTTAATTCCCTTTACTCTATCTCTAGAGTTAGGATTGAGGGGTAAGACACCGAAGAAAAATTAAATCTACTATCTTCAACCAGAAAATGACTAAGGATATCTTCTTGTTTACGAAAGGAGTACCCTCAGAAAAATAAGATGTATGAGTACAGAAAGGGAACAGTGATAAAATCTCAAGAAATGCCAAGGCAGGAATCCCAGGAGGCTATAAAATAATCTCAGTGAAGAACTGGAGAGTGCAAAGAAAAAACCAAAGTTTTTACAACTTGGGAACTCTCTCACATGGTTGTCCTGCCTTCTCTTACCTTCTTCTACATTCCTATTGCTCCTGACCAAGTCAATAGTATTCTAACATATAATGCATCATGAAAAGATAAATACTTTCTAAAATTCAGGTAACCAGTTGTGGGCTCTAAATGAAGAGTTAAGTATTACTAGAAAGGTTATTGAAAAATGAGAATGGGAAACAAGAAATACCCTTATGAACTTAGGTCTATAAGCAATGATAGAGAGTTAAACCACCAAATCTATCATTTTCAGAGTCAGGCCCATATAGTCAAAGCAATTTTGAGAAGATGCATCAATCTGTAGAAAAAGATGATAAAGCTCCCTAGAACATCAGTTGGTCTTAGTAATTACTTAGTAGAACTAGGAAGTACAAGGCAAGATGTTGGCTACATGGTGATTTTTACAGCCCATCACAGATTCTGGGTCAGTAAAAAGTTAACTGGTTGAGATTTGTATCATCAAGGAAGAAAGCAAAGAGAGCAATTTCTCCCTATTGTATACAAATGCAGTCTGAGAGAATCTTTGATAAAGGAATTACATGCAATTAGATTTGCCCAGAGAATCAGATTTTCTTCACTATTGTTTCTCGTACCTGAGAGATATGACTAAAATACTGCAAAGCTGTCTCCACAGGGCTTTTGAAGAACATCTTCTCCTGAGGTTTTAGCTATGAAGAGAGTAAGACACACAGTGAGAATATCCACAATGGAATGAAATAAAATACTGACAAGTATGACAAACGATGTATCGCCCTTTCTAATGCAACTAGTATTATTTCCACTGTGCATAAATAAGAGGGAGATCACCACTCCTCTAGGAGATGTAGATTATATGTCCAAATTCTCCTTACCTCATGTTTCTATAACAGTGGTCACAAATAATTTTTCTGTTGTTTATCCTCTTTTTCACAACTGCTATCTGTAAATTTGTTTCTTTTCTTTTCTTTCTTTCTTTTAAAAAAATTCATCATCTCTACTTTTTATATACTTCCTACAGTCCAGGAATGGGATGAGATCATTTGTAGCAGGAGGAGAAAAACTTACATTATCAGAAAGAGCCAGATGCTTGCAGGCAGTTCCACAAACAGTACATTTTTCTGGGAAGTAAAGGGGAAAAGACATTTGGTTCTAAAGGGCATGAGGTAAGATCTTCCTTAAAGTATATGGTAATAATCAAAAGAAGAAAAGGGCTCTTACTGAATTTAGAATATCATTGTGCTATAAAAGGACAACAATTTAAGCTTTGTTCTCTAAACCAGTATTTCCAAACTGGTATGTTGAAGTACATTTTTTTTTTTTTTTTTTTTTTTTGAGACAGAGTCTCACTGTGTTGCCCAGACTAGAGTGCCGTGGCGTCATCCTAGCTCACAGCAACCTCAAATTCCTGGGCTCAAGCGATCCTTCTGCCTCAGCCTCCCGAGTAGCTGGGACTACAGGCATGTGCCACCATGCCCGGCTAATTTTTTCTATATATTTTTAGTTGTCCAATTAATTTCTTTCTAATTTTAGTAGAGATGGGGTCTCGCTCTTGCTCAGGCTGGTTTCGAACTCCTGAGCTCAAACAATCCGCCTGCCTCGGCCTCCCAGAGAGCTAGGATTACAGGTGTGAGCCACCGCGCCCAGCCCTGTTGAAGTACATTTTTAAAAATTCCCAGTTTTCTTCTGTGGATCAGAAGGAACAATTCTAAACTCCCAGTAGGAGTACTGGAGTACATTTATAAGAGTATTGGGAAAAGAACAAGAGTACCAATGATCTTAACTTTAAGTTACACTCTTTCATTCTACCTACCTGACAGCAGGCATACACTGGCACTCTAAGAAAATCTCCAGTTATTCCTGCCCTATTGTCACTTGCCAATATTACTGGATCTTGCTTTAAAGCTCTCCTACTCTTATTCTCCAATTAAACCAATATGAAGAAGCAAAAATTAAAATTCCTAATCTTTCTTTGTACAGTGAAATTTTAGTAGTGGTGCTGATTATTAAGATAAATGCCATGTCAGCAGAAAACATCACATGGCATATGCTTCAAGAGACAAACCACTCCAAAGTGAGCTGCTATTACCATAGTAAACAGCTCTGTTACATTAGCAGATAATTTATAAGTGTCATGGATTTGTACAGAGAAAAAAGTTTCTCCAGAGGCTACTTAACCGGACTGTTCTTTTCCTGAGGCCAGAGAAAAGGTTTTTCCTGGTCCATACTGTTGCCAGAGTGAGCTAGCAAGTGAAAATCATTCTTCTGTTTAAGAAAAAGACAAAACAAACTTCCACAGCTCTCCATCAACTGAAGATAAAGTTCTTTAGCCTGGTATATAGAGCCTTCCATCATCTAGCCACTGCCTACTTCACTATCCTCATCTCTCACCATTTCTTACCTTGCTCTTTATACTATACCAATCCCAACTAGGCGTAGTCCCCTGCACTATGGCTTCATGATGTAATATGTCTTTATACATGCTGTTCTCTTGAACTAGAATGATCTTCCCTGCTGTATCCACTTGGCAAACTCCAGTTTATTATTCGAAACCCTATCGAAGCAGCACCTCTTTTGTGAAGTCTTCCCTGATCAAAGCACCCTACCCTAAGTCTCTCTTCTGGGCATTTATACACCATGTATTTATTTTAGCTTTTAAAAAATCCCTTAAGGCCGGGCGCGGTGGCTCACGCCTGTAATCCTAGCTCTCTGGGAGGCCGAGGCGGGCGGATTGTTCAAGCTCAGGAGTTCGAAACCAGCCTGAGCCAGAGCGAGACCCCGTCTCTACAAAAATTGGAAAGAAATTAATTGGACAACTAAAAATATATAGAAAAAATTAGCCAGGCATGGTGGAGCATGCCTGTAGTCCCAGCTACTCGGGAGGCTGAGGCAGGAGGATCGCTTGAGCCCAGGAGTTTGAGGTTGCTGTGAGCTAGGATGACGCCACGGCACTCTAGCCCGGGCAACAGAGTGAGACTCTGTCTCAAAAAAAAAAAAACAAAAAAACCCTTAAATTCAAATCTCCTTTTAAGACTTAATAGCTGTAAGAACTTGGTCAAATCACTAATCCTCTCTGAGCCAGTTTCCTCATTTGTAAAATGGTTCTAGTAATAATTACCACCTGGGATTGTGGTGAGGCATACATAAAATTGGTACACCTGAAAATGCTTTTTTAACTGCAAAGGTATCATCATCAACATTTCTAATCAAACTGATTTCACAGGATAGGCCACTTTCCTTTAGAAATGGCTCTCGGCCAGGCGCAGTGGCTCACACCTGTAATCCTAGCTCTCCGGGAGGCCGAGGCGGGCGGATTGTTTGAGCTCAGGAGTTCGAGACCAGCCTGAGCGAGACCCTGTCTCTACTAAAAATAGAAAGAAATTAATTGGACAGCTAAAAATACATAGAAAAAACTAGCCGGGCATGGTGGCACACGCCTGTAGTCCCAGTTACTCGGGAGGCTGAGGCAGGAGGATTGCTTGAGCCCAGGAGTTTGAGGTTGCTGTGAGCTAGGATGACGCCACCGCACTCTAGCCCGGGCAACATAGTGAGATTCTGTCTCAAAAAAAAAAAAAAGAAATGGCTCTTGACAGCAGCCAACTTTGCTATCCATTATTCTTATTCTGTCACTTTTCCCTGATTAGTCTGATCCCTTGTTACTTTCCCTGCCACAGACTTCAAAACACTAACAAGTACCTTTTGGTGCTCAAGTAATATATTTGCTAAATCATTTAGCACTATTCCTTATTAATGGATCCCTCCAGTTTCCAAAATCAACAGTTTCCTACAGTATCCACACTGCCATTAGCCTACTAAGTGATTTTTATCTTAAGTCACACAGAGAAATGGCTAATCATTATGTCTAGGTAGAAACATTTTTGCCTGAATCTGAAAACAGTTAAGTCACTCACCCAGAGTCACACACTTTTTACAGAAAATATGGCCACAGCTGGTGACAAAGAAATGGGCCCCATCTTTTCGGAAACACTGGTTGCAGTGAAACCAATCCATTCCGGAGCAGATGAAGAGAAAAGAATAAGAATAACCTGTGGAATAATATAATTATAGTTGTTCCAAAATCTGTGTAACAATGTTTGCTTAGCTTCTGATAGCTTATTGGGATGTGGGCACATCATTGTGGGTAATCCAACTGGTTGTAAGGAAGTACAAGTACCTATAAAGTGAAAAAAAGCAGACTTCAGACTGTTATACTATTATTTATACACACACACACACACACACACACACACATACATTTGTAAAAGTAATAGGAGGACAGTGGTGAGATTTTTGGAGTGGTGAGGTTATGAGTATTTCTGTGTGTGTGTGTGTGTGTGTGTGTGTGTGTGTGTGTATGTTTTGCCTTTACACTTTATTTTCCAGTTTTCCTGGATTAATTTATGTACCAATTTGTAATTAGAAAATACAATCCTCAAAAAAAATCAAAAACGAAAAATAACCCATCCATTTCTTTCTTAACAGTTTCGTGTGATATGGCAGAAGTGGAGTCAAGAGGAGACAGTGGACCAGATAGAGAAGATCGCATATTAGCTGCTTGGGACACATTTTATTTAAGAGAAACCAGGTTGAATAATTGTATGATCTTTGCTAGTAGCACACCTTCCTTCTACTCTACAGAAACTCAGTATCATAGAAATGAAAGGCGCCTTGAAAATCATTTAATGTTTTGTCCAATTTCACCATTTTTCAAAAGATATACCTGGATGTTCAGCGAAATTAAATGACTTGTCCAAAGTTTCATCTTTAGTTTGTGGTAGCTCTGGGATTAGAACCCAAGTCTCCTGATTTCCTGTGTAAAGTTCTTGCTCTCACATTAAATAGCCTTTGTGTTAGACAGAGTAACCATACACTCTATATCTTCTGCCAATACCAATTTCATAAAATTTGTTAAATATATAACTAAGTAAATGTGACTTTGTAGGATTTTTAAATGAGGAAATTGACATATCAAAAATACAGAAGTGAGCCAGGTGTGGTGGCTCATGCCTGTAATCCTAGCACTTTGAGAGGCTGAGGTGGGAGGATCGCTTGACACTAGGAGTTCGAGACTAGTCTGGGCAACATGGCAAGACCCTGTCTCTACCAAAAAAAAGTAAAAACTACAGAACTGAGCTATAATTAGCTCATATGTTTAATGAAATCATGTTTAATTTAATGAATATTTTATTTAAGAACAGAATATTCATTGGTTTGATTTACCTTAAAATTAAATTGGGAAAATAATCAAAACAGAAGGTAATTTTTTTTTCTTTTTCTTTTTTGTGACAATGCCACTTGCCAACAGAAGGTAATTTTTTCCCCACTAAAGTCTCCTCCTTTAAAAAAAGTTTTTAAGTGTTTTATGGAGAGGTTAAATGAATGAAGGTAGTTTGCATCACACTGGAACATTTTTGTCACACAAGACAAGATTTACTATAAAAATTTACTGAATAAACTGTTCAACGCGGCCGGGCGCGGTGGCTCACGCCTGTAATCCTAGCTCTCTGGGAGGCCGAGGGGGGCGGATGCTCAGGAGTTCGAGACCAGCCTGAGCAAGAGCGAGACCCCGTCTCTACCATAAATACAAAGAAATTAGCCAAACAACTAAAAATAGAAATAAAATGGCCGGGCACGGTGGCGCGTGCCTGTAGTCCCAGCTACTCGGGAGGCTGAGGCAGGAGGATCGCTTGAGCCCAGGAGTCTGAGGTTGCTGTGAGCTAGGCTGACGCCACGGCACCCTAGCCCTGGCAACAGAGTAAGATTTTGTCTCAAAAAAAAAAAAAAAAAAAAAATCCGTTCAACGCAAATGTATCCCACAGGTCATGAACTTCAGAATTCTATTTGTTGCTCACGATACACTACCTTCGATCAGGAAGTGAATCTAAATTACTGGAAACACCCCACCATATTTGCCCTGTTTAAGGGCAGCGACAACAATGTAATCACCTGAGTTGGCCAGATGAACCCCACATAAGAAAGGCAGTTAACAGGGTTAGCTAAGACGACCCCTGAGGAAAAACTCACCTGCTTTCCTGGGGTGATGGGAATTCAGCAGGCTCAAATTTCCCCGTTCTTTTTCCACCTACCTTCCTTACCTGCTTGGCTGCTATGATCCCAGAAGGCCTCAGATCTCACCGAAATCATCCAGTTCTCCTCACGAAGAGCTGGAAATGGCGGGAAAATAAATAGCCGGCCTGGCACAAGGGAGAGGCAAGAGGGTGGGCGTGGCCAGCGGCGGTGTGTGCGAGCCGTGGGCGCCGCCTGAGCGGTGTGCTTAGAGTGGGCGTGGCCGCGGGCGTTCGCCCGGGGTGGGGGGCGCGGGCCGTGAGTGGGGCTCGCAAAGGCGTTGAGAGGGTAAGGACCCCGCCGGCGGTGGTCTGCAAGAGACAAGGGAGACTGTTCTATCAGTATAGGAAAATTCACCTCATTTAAAGATTGGGGACAAATAAAGACTATGATTTAATTCCATACATGTTACTGTGGAAACAAAAAGGTGAAAATAAACATAACAGTATTCCAATAAACGATGACAACACACTAGAAACTGTGGTCACAAAGTAGACAGAAATTTTAACCTAATAGTCTAAAATGAAATGAAGAATACAACGGATGCTCTGAAAGAACAGCATAAATCAGAAATAGAAAAGTCAAAAATGATATGGATAGAGAACAGTTGGATATTAAATGATAACTAACAAAAATTTCAAGAAAAAGATTTTAAACTTTTTTCAGAAATGAAAAGTGAGGGATAAAAAAGCACAGTTTAGGAAATAAAGGCTGTAAGGGCTGAAAGGAGAAAGTTTCGTTTTGTTTTGTTTTGTTTTTGAGACAGAGTCTCCCTCTGTCGCCCTGGGTAGAAGTGCGGTGGTGTCAGCCTAGCTCACAGCAACCTCAGACTCCGCAGCTCAAGCGATCCTCCTGCCTCAGCCTCCCGAATAGCTGGGACTTCAGGCACCAGCCACCACGCCCGGCTGAGAGAGGTTTTAAAAAGAGAAAGATAAAAGGTTTTAAGAGAGAGTGATAAATATAGAAAACAAGCAAAAGATATTTTACACACATTCATTCCCCTTAAGAAAACTAAAGCCGGGTATCAGAACAAATATTTAACATGAATTTTGAGAAAATTTTACTGAAATAAAACTTGAGTTCTACATATTGAAAGAGCATACCATGTATAAGAAAAAATGTACACAGAACACTCAAAACCAAGACATTTTCTAGGAAAACTATTGGACTTGAAAAAAATCCCTTTGAGCATCCAGGCAAAAAGTACTAGTCACCTATAAGGAAAAGAAAGTGAGATTGGCATCAGATTTCTCCACAACAGCACTTTATGCTACAAACACTTGAAACAACATTTTGAGATTTTCAAGGAAAGAAACTATGATTCAAGAAATTTTATATCACCTCATATTGTGTTCAATATAAAAGCCACTGACAAAAAATATGAACATGAACTTTTCCTGAGGCATCCATTAATGTAGTAGTTCTCAATCTTTTTGGTCTCAGGACTCCTTTACATTTTAAAAGTTGCTGAAAATACAACCTTCACCCCAGGAGCTTTTGTTTATGTGGATTATATCTACCAATATTTACTATATTAGAAATTAAAAGTGAGACATTTTAAAATATTGATTGATTCTTTTGAAACAATAAGAAACCCATTAAATGTTAACATAAATAACCTATGGAAAATATATTTTCCAAAACAAAAATAATTTAGTGAGAAGCGTGGCATTGTTTTTACATTTTTATGATCTTCTACTATCTAGGTTAATAGAAAGCAGGTGGAGTTGTGTATTTCCTTCTGCACACTCTGCTGTAATATGCTGTTTTGGTTGAAGTGTGTGTAGAAGATTTGGATCACCCAAATATGTAGTTGGGAATGAGAGTAGTATTTTAATAGCATTTTCAGATAGCTGTGAATATTTTTCTTTGATACTACACCAAAATTCAGGAAGTGTGAGTCTGTTAAAAGTTAGCTGCTGAGTGGCATAACTAAAACCGTATCAACAAACTGTTTATATTCTGTTACACTGAAATCCATTGGTGTGTCTTGTTCTTTAAATGGAGCTTTAGCCTATGCATGATTTTGTAACATCATACATTTAGACCAAACTGGTCATTTGAAAAATATTGGTTCACTGAGTTATGCACACTGACACATTTCATTATACAGTATTAAATATTGACACACTACATTATACAATATAAAAAATTACTTTGTTAATATCACTACATATCTTATCAGATATCAGGTAAGACTTTCAGTCTTGGGAAGCTGTCAAGCTCACGGATAAAAGTTTTCCAAAATTCTAATTTTCATCTGAAAACTTGAATTTTATCATTGGCAACAGATACTATCACTGGTTTTTCTTGAAGTGACAAGCTCATTTTGTTTATTTTGGAGAAAATGTCTACCAAATACCCAAGTCTGAATAGGACTAGTTTGTGTCTTAGTTCTTTCAAATAAAAATGGTGTTCCATGAAAAAAAGTGATTAGTTCGTCTTACAACTCAAACTATTGCAAAAATGGTTTTCCTCAATATAATTTTTTTTTTTTTTTTAATTAGAGATGAGGTCTTGCTATGTTGCCCAGGCTGGAATGCAGTGGCTATTCACACGCACCATCATAGCACACTGCAGCCTTGCTTGAACTACTGGCCTCAAGTGATCCTTCCGTGTTTGCCTGCCAAGTTGTTGGGACTACAGGCGCAACCTGGCCCTGAATATGATCTTAATTCTACTGAAATGTTCTGAGTCCTAGAAAAAGGAGGAAACTTTCAAAACAATTTTTATGAAATGAAAACATGAGCCAAGTGTGGTGGCTCACACCTGAATCCCAGCACTTTGGGAGGCCCAGGCAGGAGGATTGATTGAGGCCAGGAGTTCGAGACTAGCCTGAGCAACATAGTAAGACCCCATCTCTACAAAAAATAAAAAATGAAAAAAATAATAAAATAAAAATTGGCAAAAGACTTGAATAGACATTTCTACAAAGAAGATATACA